TCACCATCCTTTCCTCGGTCCGTTTCGTCAAAACCTCCTCATGGTGAGCTTTTCACTCGTACAACTCGGTATATAACTAGGGCATCATCTCTGATCTTCTGGTTGGCTACTACCTCAGCATTCACGTAAGTGCAATTCAAATAAATAGAAGAAGTCAAACGGCTCGACAAAAATGAATTTCAAAACTTGCAAGTCCCATCTATTGGAAAGAGGATTCTATATTAAAGCTTGACTTGGAAAAAGTTAGAGTCACCAAACAGAATCGTGACCAAACGACTTTTAAAAAGCAGGATTGTAGTTATTTCGAGCCGGAAAAAAAGGTCAAAATGTTATTGCAGTAAATGTCGAAACCTTGGGGACATTTATTGGTATCCAAAAATCCTACTTGAGCTTTCCTTAATTTAAGAAGGAGAGCTTATGAAGATTCAATGGTCACTTCGAAGATGACTGTTCGCAAAATTATCCTGCAAGTGTACGGGTTCGTTGTACAAGTAATAATTATGATGAGTGAGTTATCGTCCCACAGAGAATAATGTTCAATTCTAGTGTATCCGATGTATCTAAATTCGTAAAAATAATAAAATATGGTTGATTTGTGTTTAATTACGTTCTATAACTACGAAAGTAATAAAACAAAAGAAAGTAGTTTTTAAATCAAGTGTGGATGAATATATTGGATTTCCGAATCCACTACTTTACTCTAGAATTCAATTCTCAACTTGTAATAATTAATTCAATTCTTTCATTCGTGACGATCGATAATTCCCCTTTTATTTATTATTCTTTTCCAAGACATAATAAACCTATGATGACCACGACACGATCTCATTCCTAGTTCTCATTCATCTGATAAACATGCATTAAAACCTAGGATTATCACACACGATTGCACACTTCACAAATATTATTCCTAATATTTATTCTTCATTGTTCCATATACAGTGTTCTACCTATTGTGAGTTTTTCAACACTAAGAATAAGCAACTCATTGTCTTAATGGTGCGCAAGCATTGAAACAATATGAAAAAGCATGCATATAAAATTACAATGCAAGAATTAACTAAAAATCACAAGTCTTGAATTAAAAACTAGAAATCAAGTAGTTTCATCATCCATCCAATACAAATAAATCTAGCATAGCATATTGATATGAAAATCACAAAATAAGATTTGGAAAAAATCACTCAGAATAAAAAATAATGAATGAAAGGTGAAAACTCAATTTCTTCTTTGGATTTCCTCAATCCGGACTTTGAATTTTCAATCTCTTGTGATAATTCCTTTGAATCTTGTGCTAGCCTCCTTCTTTTTGGTAAAATTTAGGATTTGATATCCTCTCAGTCGTTCCGCCGTTCACCCACTTTAGAAAGTAGGTTGAATTTTGTTTTCAAAAGAATTTGGACAAAATAGGGAATTTGGGCCATTTAGGCCCAGAAAAAGCCTGTGCACACGGGCCGTGCAATTTCTTGCGCGCACGTCGTGGAATTCATTTGCTCTTGATAGATAAAAACTAAGCCCGTGCTCGCGAGAGATTTTGCCTGTGCCCGCGCCCAGGCATAAAACTTCCAATTGTTGTACTTTGGTTCCCGAATTTCATTCTTTATTTATTTTGGTTCCTTATTTGTATTTTCTTGAGCCTCCATCTTCCAATTTCGTCTAATTGACTCCAACATCTCTCCAATCATCGATACTAGGTCCGAATCATCTATTATCATTTTGCAATTTAGTCTTCACACTTTGGATTAAGTCCACTTTAGCCAATATTCTACCTCTTTTCTTCAATTCTATGATTTTTCATCAAAATACACCTAACAAAAAAAAAGATATACAAAAATAAGCCTCCATTCATTTAAAATAACAATAATTACTCTAATTTAACGATATAGATAGGTGTATAAAATACATTTATCAATGACAGACTAAGAGGTCACCAGGTCAACTCTACCATGGCGGGTTAGCCCTACCAAGTTAGGTAAGCTTGTCCAGTGACAGGTTAGCTCTATCGATGAGCTCTATCATGACATGTTAGCTTTATCAAGTTAGGTCAGTATGTCTAGGCCAGCTCTATCCATGAGTTTTACCACGACAAGTCAACTCAACCCGTCGTCATTCAAAATAATATCATTGAAATTCTGAACATGTCTCCTAAGTGATGTCATCACCACTTGAACGATTACTTCTAAAGCGACAAGCAACCCCTATGATGTCAACATCTCATTTTCAGCTAATCGAAATTCAACAAGGATTACCTAGGCCATGATGACATGTTCAGCCAACTTCAACAACCAATCATCATCCTTAAATCTGGGTGGTGGCGCACACTTTTAGGTCGGTACCGCAGCTGATGTGACATTGAGCAGCTAAGTTGTTTGGTTAAGGACCTATAAATCGGGGCGAAAGGTATTCTCCAAGGGGAAACTTAAGATACTCTCTTTACACACTTTCAAATTAATCCAAACAACTCTTTTACTATTTCAGAAATTGACCTCTCACAAATTATCAATTAAGTTGACAATAATCGACATAGTCATTTTTTTACATCAACAAGAAGGATTAAGGTTTAGTTAAAATGGGTGAGTGAGAGAGTAGAGATCGAGAGTGGGAGAAAAGGCTCATATCTATTATCATTTTCTAAAAAAAAATTGTCTAAAAGTTAGGAGGTCACGTGATCCCCTTGCCCCCCTCCTCGTCCGTCCGTGATACAATTTATAAAATGTGAGAGTAAAATCACGAAGTTATATTGAAAGTAAATATCCTTTACGTTATGGACATTCATTATACAAATAATATGCATCGTTAAAACTTTATTAGAAAAACCCCCGTTGAGACAATCCTAATGAAGAAAAAATAAAGTTAAAACTTGCAATCACTTATTTACATGTAAATATGAGTGAACAGAAAGTGAAATGGATGTGAAATTAGTTGAAACGGCATCTCATCATTTAAAATGGTAGTATACCGTTTTACGTCATGGGGTTTCGACCTATATTCGTTACCTACAGAATAATAGTGTTGGTCACTATCTAGTGAACTTTATATCGATGGGGTATCCAAATGTAGTGAAAATTTGCATTTATTCATTTTATGAGTATACGAGTGCACGTAAAGTGAAAAAGACATGAAATTAATTGAAATATCAACTAATCATTTAAAATGAGAGCATGTCGTAAGGGGTCACAAGGTCTCGATTTCACTCCAAAACTAGTTATCATATTTTGGAGCATCTTAGAAGATGTGTACATGTTGAACAAACTAATTTGTTAAGTATCTTATATCGTATTTGGAATATATTAAATTTGAGTTACTTTCCTTTACTTGTATAGTGTAATTTACCCACAAAACAATAGTGTTAGGCACCATCGCGTGAACTTTATATCGACTATGGTGTCAATTTAGCGAAAACTTATATTCATTTATTTTCTTGTGGATACTTGCATTTGTTCGTTTTAATGCAGATACGAGTGAACATAAAGTAAAACGAACACAAAATAAATTGAAATGGCATCTAACTTTTTTAATTGACAACATGCCTTCCTGGGCAACTGAGTCTCGATTTCATTTAAAATGTAGGAAAAACTTGTATTCATTCATTTTCATGTGGATACAAAGAAACATAAAGTGATACGTACATGAAATTAGTTAAAATGGTACTTAGCCACTTAAAACGATAACATGTCGTTTTGTCATTTCTATTGTGAGCTGCTTATAGTACTTCTTATTTTGGGAATAATGTTGAAGAAGAAGAAATTAGGATTTGAAGGTGAGTTTAGGGCTTGAATGTGGGTGTGGAATATGAGAATGAAAGTGGGGATCTATGGTTTTGGGATTTGGTAAATGTTAACCAAAAACTTTGGTTGACTAGGCTTTTAAACCAAAATTCGCTAAATTTTTTTTCACATTTGTGAATTTGGCCACAAAATTCGTAAACTCGAGGGCTATAGAATGATCATAGGCTGATTTAAGTGGGTTCATGTGCGGTCAGCTGAACCCACGATTTTTTTTTTTTTTTTGGAATTTTTCTTTTTCGAGTATTTGTTTTCCCTATTTGTACGAGTTTTTCCCTTTAAATTTGTGCCTCCCTATTTCTCTCAATCTTCAAATCTCATTATTTTTCAAAGACCTAGGTTTGTCATTTTTACCGGATAATTTTATTTTCTAGTTAACTCGTTTGCACCGATGCAAACGATCAGCCATGTTTTTTCTTCACCTCAACGTTAGACGTTTCAAGATCCCACTGTTTAACCACCACCTTTTTTACCAACCCAACTACTTTTAGAATTGTTAATTTTTTTCAAGTTATGGAGCCAATTGTTTGTTGTTGAAGACATTTTGTGCTAATTACAAGTTTTGACTTCGATCTCCCTTCAAAAGTAAGCAATGATTTGTCTTAACTTGGTGATTTAGGATTTTAGGAATACTGGAAATCATTATTGGATTTTGTTTTCATGAAATTGGTTGTTCTCTATTGTGATCTAAATGGAACATTGAGACTTTGTAATTTGAATATTGATTAGCATTCATTTATTTTTTTTAGTTTCATATCAAAAAACCATAAAAAACATTTTAAACGAAAAAATCTTTATTTTTGAATGAAGAGCAAAATATTGGTAACATGAGTGTTCAAGAGAAAAAGCACTCGAGTCTTGACACAACCTAACATGCTCCGTTGGTAGACGGAGCATCAATGGAAAAGGGGAGCCATAACCTTGAATACAATCCCAAATTTGTCCATCGCTCTGTGCAAATCTGCAAGTATCATATACTCTATTGACCTTGAATTTACGTTATAAAAATTGAAATCCTATAATTTCACACAAGACCAGAGTTTCCAATCATGAACCACAACATTAATGGAAAAAGAATTCCGAGAAAACTGTGCTTTATAACTTTGGAAGCAAACAAGAAAATGATAAACAGAAACATGTATACGATTTATGTATATAATGCTTATCCAATTACATTATGAACTGTGTATGTTTAATTGTGGCTTAGGTAGGCACCTAACTTATCTTGGAGGGGAAGACCATATTATTATCTGACTCTGCTGAAACCAAAATCTGTGAACCTTCAAACGTCGTACAGAGGTCGAGATTTGGTGATTTTGGGTTTTTATTTTGGGAATCAAAGAGATTTCTAGTTGATTTTTGTTGCTGATCAAACATCATTTTCAGCTGCTTCCCCTGTTCTTCAATCCTCAACTGCAAAGTTCTTTGAATCTACCATGGAAAAGTAAGCTAAAATCAACACTTAATATTTAACAAATTATTTTGATCATTTTACTATGGATAGAGATATAAGAGCAACCTCTAGTTGTTCGTGAAGATGCTTTTGAACGTCTAGTTGCACTTGCAGTGCTTCCTTAAGTTGCATACCACTGCAAAAAGTAAAAATAAAAGAAATTCAAATATGGAAACTAACAGAATTTTATCACTCTGCAAATTGACTTAGCAATTTTTTACGTTTTTATGTCAAACTTCGCAACATTATCAGCACTCGTGTTCTTTTCAGATTTTCCTGCAGGAGAGGAAAGAAGAAAATAGTATCAGATTATAGCCTAATGGAAATTCATAAATATACAAGGAAAGCCGTTTAGATTACCTTCCACCGAATACGGCAAGCATTTTGCATTTCGATATTTCTGCAAAGAAAATAAATGATGGATCGAAAAAGTTAAAAAGTTAATAGTAATGAAAAGTTCTGAGATTTATCAGAATACCTGCAAATGGCTCTTGACATGAAAGATTGTAAGTCCCTCTGTATCCATCAGCCTTAGGATTGCCTTGGGTGTTGCCTCTATGTTATGTTAGTAAATGGGGAAACAATTAGTATATGTTGGTCTTTCGGATTGAAATCAAAAGGGTAATATCAAATCACTTACTATCAGAACCCCCAAGATGATTTACGCACCCTACAAATCGATCATGAAGATCTGGAGTCCATCTGATTCTCATCTTACTCGATGAAACAGAATGACTTGAAGCAGAAGACACACATCCGGGCAGGCTTCCAAACTGCTTTAGATGAGCAAAATGAGAACCGTACAGACGTTGAGACAACTGTGTGAATATTGCACATCCACTAATTAATTCGAAATTCAAATGAAAAGTGAAAGACTTACACCAAGATCTTGATTTGCATCAAATGGAACAGAGGGGCTTCTCCTGTTGGAATTATCGAGATCACCTAGCAGCTTCTTTTTCAGTTGCAGTATTTGTTCACTCTCTGAAAGTTTGCGATTTCTGAAGGAATTTACAAATTGATTATGTGATGTTTGAGTCTTAATAGCTGATTGAAGGGCGGCTTTATTTGACTCGAAATCTTGCTCTGTTGCTGCAGATGAATCTCCAAAGAAGCCATTTCCTGACTGCTGATAAGAATTCTGGGATTGTTGGGAGCAACGAGAATATAGACTGTTTTTGGGGTAATCATAGTGTGTTAAGCCCATATACCTCTCCGTTGCATAGAAAGCAGAAGCCGGTGATCCAATCCGGCCGATGGTGGAGCTGGATGAATTTGCAGGCCAAAAATTCTGCTCTGATGAGCCTGAGCCATTTTCTGTGGCTACCGAGTGCCAAAAATCCACCATGGGATTAGTCTGCTGCTGAGTGCCATAACTTTGTGGGAAACTGTCTTGAAATTCTGAAGCAAAATCACTGGCAAATCCATAGTTCTGCTGTACTCCTCTCATTTACAAAAACTGATCAAATTAGAAATTAAGCAGACACTGAGCTTTGTTCTATTTATTCTCCAAGACCAGTAGCAGCTACTATTGCATTTGTGTCAACGATTCTTATTCCAAAGTAAGAACCTGCATCAAACACACGGCTTTGGGGTTAACGAAGCCGAAATACTGATAGATGAACAGTAAACAATAGATTTCTTTTCTCTTTATATGAGACAAGTCTCCAAATATGAGTATGAATGTGTCATTATTCAATCTTGTTTAACTGGATAGAAATGAACTGTAACCTCTTGACAAAACCAAAGCCAAATTATTTATAAATAATAGTAATAATTCTCACCTAGGAAAACACAAATACAATTGTAAGGTATATAAAAAGACAATGGTGCCTATTCAACTCCTGTGTACATAGCAGATAAAAAAAGAATAATATTTTGGTTATCTTTAACTCAATAATTTCATGTGCAGGCATATATTCAACACTTCATTATTCTTGTTAATGAGGTGGATGGATGAAGTGATCCTTCTTACCCACTAGTCCTTCTACTAGAAAAGTTCCATGAAAGAAAGATTTGAGAACTTACAAGATTCCAAAATGTATTTCTGATTGATTTTACTTTTACAAAGATAGATATTGGAATCAGTAAAATCGTGCTAGCTAGCTTCAAGATTTTAAACCAAAGATTCTTTCCTAATTTATACATGATTCTCATTTTGAGATTTATTTTATACCCCAAAAAAATTTAAGCTTCTATACCATTCTTAAAGGCCTTTTCATATATTAATTTTGTCATCTGTTAGCTTTCAAATCATTCTAAAAGAGCAACCGGAATCCAACAGATATGTGTTGCCAGATAGTTTGGCAAAGGCAATTAGTTGGCTGGTCTCTTTTAACATTTTATTTTATATTATGGTCATTCGAATGAGTCCAAACTAATTTCTAGTAATATCCTAAGAGACTAACAAACAGATTGCTAGCTTGCGCGCGCGCACACTATGAACAAAACCTCTATATAGAAATCTCCGAGACCTATCGTTTCCATTTCACTCGAAATTCACATTTATATAATCGTCATGATCTACACAGCTGCTAAAAGTTTAAAAATACACAAGAAGAGAATCTTGGCTTTTCGCTATTAAATTAAGAAATAACCTTGCCATACAGAAACGAGAACATACAGGGTAGACACAACGTGTGGGGCCCACTTTTTTTTGTTTGAATTAATTGATAAAGTGTTAAATAATTAAATGTGATATTTAATTATGTGGGCCATTGTAATTAATTTGGGTGAATTGGAAAAGTCTCCAATATAGGCCCATAAGTTGATAAGCCCAATTTTAAGTGTCTTATATATGGTAAGAAATCTCACATCAAAAGTTTACAAGAAAAAAGATTTGTTTATATAGTGGGATGTGTGTACAAGTTATAATTTAATAAGTGATCTACAACTTAGCTAACTTTGACTAGCCAAAGGCTAGCAAACTAGCCACCACAAGAGTGGTGCTTTGCACCATTCGCGCCGCGCACCGGGCCCGGCCCGGGCACGTCTCAAAGTTCGGATTGGGTACTTTAGAAGCGCACTTCGCACGTACGCATCGTCGCGAGGAGCTGTGGAGCCTTAAAGTTTTCAGAAATGGAAGTGTCTGTATTGTATTACAGTGACAGAAAAGGTCCCAGTTGTAAGTCTTGCATGGTTCTATAGAATCTTTGGATACCTATAAGAAGAAATTAGATACATTAGTGGATATTCAGTTTGCTACGGTGCCATTGGAGTTTGGCTTAGGGTCTATGTTGAAGAATACATCTCAGTAGATTTCAGAAGTTATGGTTAATGCCACTTTGCCACCACCATTAGCTTTGCCACGGTATTGTTTGTTAGAGACAGAAACATAAAAGATAGTAGGCCTCGACAAAAGTATGAAAAAGTTGATTTAGTTGTTTATGCTTTAATTATGGTTAAATGTGTTGAATCTACCAAAGAACCTTCTACAGAAGTAGTTTGTAGTGTCTATTCAATACAGGGTATGCTTTTGCCCCATTTGGTGATTTTAAGTTGTTTTGTGATTTTGTTGCTTGTGGTAATAATTCAAACAACTTTGATACCCAAGGTAATTCTGTTGGGCAGTGCTTGGATTCAGTTAAAATTCAATTATTGAGTTTATCCTAGTTGTATTTTGTGAAAATGGTGGAGAATTTGTTTGATGTTCTTGTCGAAGAGTTCAATTTTATTTCTTGCACTGGAATTTGGCTCTATGTGGAGAGTTTTGAAATCTTGTTCATTGTGTTGGAATTTGTATCATTGTGGCTATTTGTTAAAGTTTGGCCCAAATTCCATTGGATATTTGTAGAATAGTTGAAGTGGTTTTGAAGAGGTCAAAATATGGATCAATAAGTAATTTAGTAGCATTCTTGTTAGCTGCGCATCAAGCTTTTGCTCGAGTGCACAAAACATGGGGATGGCGCCTGCCTGCCTCTTGCTTCCCGTCGAGTGGCGCTCGAGCAGCAGTGGCATCCAAAGGATCAATTTCACGTTTTGACACGTTTTTGATACTATTTTCATCTTTAGTACTATTGTTAGGATTTTGACATGTGTCATATATATAGTTGATTCTTCTTTACAAATTAGACAAATTAGACCATATTTTTGTATTCTTTATTCATATTATCGTGAATTCTCATTCCCTCTGCCAAATTTCTTGTGTTCTTTTTATGTTATGATATTCACTTCATATTGTGTCATATAATCTCATTCTTAATTCCTAACAAAGTCAAAGGAAAATATGTTTGAAAAAAATTGATTAACAAAAATAATAGGATTTGCTTTCAAAGATGACAATGATTTTGCTCGCTCAAATTAAAATATAAGAAATTGATTAAGTCGATTACTCAACAATGTCCTCCATATCATGCATGAAAAAAAAAATTGCTTGACTTCAGTAATTCAATTGGGATTAAAAAAAAAAGATTTAAATCAACTTGTAACTAGGTTCAAATGGATCAGATGTGGAGAAAAGAAAAAGAAAGCATCCTAACTTGGCAAGAATATAATATAAACAACTTTTTTTGGCAAGTAACAAATGTCGAAAAAATGGTGGTTCGTGAATACAAAAGACATTTTCTTGTTAGGCCATTGCCAACTTATTTTTGGCCCTTAAATTTCCCAAAGGACAAAATTCTAAATAGTTTTATTTTTCTGGTCCGACCGTTGATTCATGGCTGGAAGAACAGAATATTAACTGATTCTGAATAAACTGTATTTTTTCGATCTCAAATTCGATGAAGATACAGATAAATAGAAGCTGTTTTTACAAGGTTTTGAAGAAAACGTTGTTTTTCAACTTTCACAAATGACAGTGACAACACAACAAAAAATGTATTTATAATTTAATTTTTTTGGAATCTTGAATTATCAATCTTTTTCCCAGGCCACTAAACTTCGATTTCTTTTCTTGATCTGTATCTTTTTCAATCAAAATTGCTCAACAGTAGAGCATCAGATTCCGTCTGAAAAATTCCATATTATAAAAGTAACTAATTATTTTTTTTCCAATCAAAAATAAAATAGTGGACATTCGACAATACGAATAATTATGGGAAGTAAATTTGGACCCGTAACCTAATTCATCTTCGAGAAGAACCTAAGTTTGTGCCCACTAATGCAATATTCAGTCTGCACGATATTTATTAGTTTGGTTTGGG